AATATTATATAAATAAATAAATGCATACATACATAACATTGTCTAATATTATACAAAAAAATCTACAGAAGTATTTTGAGATCTTTAGCCCAGCTAACATCTAGGTAAGCGCAGTGCGGCATTTATTTTAACAACGGAATTTGAATCTTGTTTTTATACAAAATTCATAAAGGAAATAACCACAGCCACAGCAGAAGCTATTTCCATAACGATCGTCAAACTCAATAAACCTTTGCACGAAGTCACAACTTTTAAAAAAAACAATAAAATTCACCAGCGGATTAAAGTGTGAACTGCGTTTTAATAATAGCGACACATTTTTTACGATACATGCTTCGCTATCTCTGCCAAGTTTTGTAGCTGAATACAACGTATAGATTACAAGCGCCAAACGAATAGCGAATAAAACAATCCATTCTAAAATACAACCAAATAGACAATTTACAGCAGTAAAATAGGTATTTTAAATACATTAATTTAAGATTTTCTCTTATATATTTCAGGACAAACTTAATTCTTCTATAAGAAATCCAATTTTTTGCAAAATTAAAGTGAAACAGGTCGCTGCACTAGTTCTTAACAAAATTTAAAATGTATCTCATTCTATTTTAAACTTTGCCCGGGAGCGAGATATATAAAACTTGAAGATGACTTGAATTTTTAAAAATTGTTAATGAATTCGGAATTTATAATCCTTAATCAGAAGCGATGATATTTTTAAGAATTTTATGAAGCGAGTATTAAGACTTACCTGCTTATTAACAAACGAAAAAGGTTTTTTTATATCACTGTCATATCTTTAAATAATATGTTTATTGTGAAGAAAATTTGTAAAAATAATCTCTTTGGTACACAGAAAGACATAAGACTTAAACGAGATGTTCAAATAATTTTAATTACTATTGTATAAGAACTGAGATAATAAGGAAAATATTGTATTTATATTAATTTAATTCTAGTAACATAAAATTTTAAATATATGTTAGAATATTCCTCCGTAGAATTATTTCCTATATTAAAACAGTAATATATGTTTATAGTTTAAACAATCATTTATATGTACACGTAATCTCTCTTTATCTCAATATAATCTGAGTCCATAGATTCAAAATATATTTTAAAAATAGCTAATGTTTTAAATTATTACAAGAAGCAACGCTAAAACTATATGATACAATATGTTATAAGAAATATTCTTCGAAATTTAAGAAAAGCTTGAACAATGGATCCGGAAGCCTTTGATTCAATAAAACCGAAATACAATAAAATCAACGTTTTCATGCGCTCCCATTCATGGCATAGTTCCAGATACAATTTGTTTACTTGGGAATTCTATTCACTAAAATTATATTTTTTCTACGCCGCGGTTACCTTTATATCTTTCAAATGTTCTTTTCGTCGAAAAATATAGTTTTGGTCAATGAATTTGTAGTTGCTTAGGCGGTAATGGTAACACAATATAATAAAAACACTTTTGACATTGTACGCCAATAAGTCACATACCTAACTGTATATGCATTACTTATGTCTACAAACAGCGAATTTTATTTGTCAATATCATTAATATTCAGGGCGATATAATATGTACCGTTGTTTGTCCTTGTGCGTTTTATAACGGATGGCTTTAATACTGGTGGACCATATCGGGTATTATAGTTAAATCGATTTGGGCATGTGGAGTGATGTTGAATCCTATTCGGACAATCGGACGTCCTATTACACCTGACCTGACCTTTATGGAAAAAATAGAGGACAACTTTAAAAGCAATGGCATAGATTACTTCAAAAAATGAAGTTAATTTCATTCATCGTAGGAAACGAAACCTGCAAATATATCAAATTGGACAAAGCAATTGTATATGTTCCACGATCACACGTACGAACGCGCGAACAATCGGTTAAGTATCAGTTAACAATTGGTAAGAGTGAACCGCTCTCATCTCACACAGTTGTGAAAATTGTATCACATACAACTAGCAGTAGTCTTAAAGCGTGAGAGACCACGTAAATTTCAAAACATCAATTATTTAGCGCAATATAATTAAGGAGGTCAGTTTTGAGTAATCTTCTCATATAGACAATGGTCAATTAAAACATTCGCCCTGTTTCTAAAAGATAACGGAATAAAGAACGCTATTAGTCTAAAGCTTGCAGGAATAAGTTTTATTTAAATTTGTATAAATATTACATACATATGTACCTACTGCTGTTCTAGGTTATCCATTATATATTAATAGAATACTCATCGCTTTATAAATATCTCACCTTGTTAATAGGAAATCTCGGATTTCCTGTTTAATAAACCACACAATACCTTGATTTCTGCAATCTCTAGCAGTGTTGACCACGACGGCATATAAACCGCATTCTTAATACGTTATGACCGTTCTGACTTATTTAATTATGATCTAGACTGGAAAACAAAATTAACGGGGAATATTTTTTTGTTTATTTATTACCAAAAACAATATTTATTGTAAAACTCTTTATAGAAGTTTGTAAAGCCACAGTAAAAAATTATAAAATCATTTAACATTTCAAGCTATATCAATGAAATATAACTGTCATACTTATATTGATTTGAACTGAATTGTATTTAATGTAAACATGACATTTAAATATAGGATCAATCTGTCTTTACATTCAACATACATTCTTCAAAAAATAATTTTCTATGACTTAATAATATATAAGTAAGAAAAGCTGTAATAGTGAAGTGCTTTGTCAAGAATAGATATTTATTATTAGCTGTGATACACAATATTATAGGCAGACAAGCTTTAAGGTTATTAACTAAAATTCAAATTCCCAACAACTTATATCTTGAAACACGCCAATTTTGGGAAGTAGACACCAGACCAGACCGAATTATGGCAAATTAATGAAGGCCACACCATCGATATCGCTATCAATTAATTATAACTTGGTTAACTGAGCACTTACATGTCCGCAACCCATGCATCTTTGTTAACAAAGTTGGCTACATAAGTCATATACCACACAAAGTGATCAGAGTAAGGAATCTATTAGTATCGTTACATACGGATTCCATTAAGAGATTACTTAAACAGAAACAGCATATTACATAAGCAGAGACGTCGCGAGCATAAGAGTTGTGTAAACGATTACAACGAAATAGGAAATAAAATCCATAGCATCGGAACTTCCTACTGATTTGTCACGTCTTTCTTATATGGTCCCATGGCCTCTTCTCACGATGTCTGGGAAATTATTCTATTGTACGCAAAAACTTCCACTGTTGTTACTAGTGTGGAATATATCTAATATTTCTAATATTTAATAGTGAGATTATAGGATATGAATGTAATAATTATTGAGGTTAATCGACTGATTGATATTAGCTTATTATGAAATAGGAAAGACACTAGTATGAGACCGTTTTTGCTATTTATATAATTATAATTATGTGTTATATAATGGAAGTCTACTTTGAAATTAGCTGAATCTAGATTCATATAAAAATAACTTTACAAAGCAAACGCAAACAGATGGATCATCTATTGCCTATCAAAAATATAAGATGGAACTGTCAAACTTTCATATTTACATACAAAACTAAACGATTTCTTCTTTAAAATAGAAATATTTTTAGTACAAAATATAAACGGAATTGAATTTTGTTCGAATACTTTTTATCCGATTAAGGCAGATGGGTGTAATCCAATTATTGTGTTATAATTTTATGTTACATATTTCAGATTATATTTTGAAACGGCCTCGCTAAAAACGAGTTATTAATACTGAAACCACCATAAATATGTATATTTAACTATTTTAAAATAATAATCTGCCATTTTTAGTTTCTTCGCTGATTTTAATATTTTATATCGTAAAAAAGATGAAAGGTGTATTAGAGCCTTGTAGTATATTTGGCGTTTATTAATTTCATTGATAACTGTTTTCAACCAGAAATAAGAAGTAAATATTTCGTTATATTTTTGATTCAATCAAGTAAAAAATTGCTACGAACTTTATGAAATTGCAACGTTCAAATCAAATTTCTAAATAATATGAAGCATTATATCAATGTCCGATACAAGGCTGCCGTGGAAACGCTGCAACAGATCGAATCAACATTTTCCAATTTTATTATTACATCCTTCGTAAAACCAATATTTCCTGCAATATAAAACAATATACAAGTTAAAAAATATTACAGACTATCGATAGTACTTGCAAGTAGGCTAAAGTCATTGATTCAAAGTTGAGAGCGTTTTAGTCATAAGTCATGTGTATTATTTAGACACCTAGTACCAGGTATTAGTTATTAACCATTATAATTTTATAGTAAATGAAATAACACCTTAGAAGTTAAGAAATAGAGTTCATTTTCAATTACTATTGTTTGGAACTGTTGGGAGACTACATGTCATTGAAATAAAGACAAGACACGACCCAAACCGGCTGCAGTGTGATATCATCGAGAACTTTGGTCTCTGATATTCAAATACAAAAACAATAAATAAATCGTTAGAGAAAATATGTCGAGAGAAAATTTCTTAATACAATAGCACTTAAAAAATAATCTTCTACTTAAAAATCATTAAGTTAACTGCATGTATGGTATCAAGTGACAGAAAATTCATATTAGAAAGCTCTCAGCCTCAGTGTCAAAACAATAAAGACAATTAATATTCTCGAGGCATGCAATACGCCGGAGAACGTATTTCGCCAAAACATTATTTTAATTATGTATACTCTCAACTTAGGTGAACCAAATGAATTCAACTTCTTTAAACGGCCGTTACGAATATACGTGACTTGAAAACGCCTGTTAATTTTATTACCTTTACAAAATTCTATACCCTCCAAGCTATTGCTTTACATGAACCTAATATTGCTGCTTACAAAGATTAATAAATTTATTTCACGTTGTAATTTAACGAATTTTCAATAAAATGCTCTCTTGAAATAAGTTAATATCTCGAATATTAGGTAACATAAAGATGTTATATCATGTGTTCTTTTTACAGATAACGATGTTGATAAGGTGTCGTGCGGCACTAGGTGCCGTTGTGCTGCTTCTAGCTGTGTCTCTTACGAAATCCGAGGTACGTAACTATATTATATGTACATGTATCATTATAATGTTTTCTATATGTTTCAATAAATATAAAGCTATAAACCATTCCCGTGGCAAAAAATACTGGAATTACTTAATCCATAATCTAAAATTTCATGATGAAAAATATTTGAAACAAACAAAATTTTTTCCAAAGAATTCACCTTTAACTTTTAGACATGAAAACATTTTAATAAAAACGGTTTACTTTTGTTTCCACGAAATTTAATTTGCATAAAAAACAAAGTAATTTTTTCATTGGAATAAAAAATAACTTGAAAAGTTATGAAATCAGAAATTTAGGCAAACTTAATAACAATTGTTATGAAAACAATTAAGAAAGTATAGGTAAATGGGATTTTTTATGAATTCAACTGGTAAAAGTCCATCATTTCATGTTATTAAAATTGTAATCATTACTTATCCTAAATAACACAATGTATCTTTCATAAGAAACGCCTCACCAATAAACGAATTCAGACAAATTTACAGACCGATCAGCACAAGTTAATAAATATAACATAACATTTAGAGATTCTATTGACAATGAAAATGTGCCAATTACATTTTCTGGCGTTGCTTTGAGAACAAAAACTATGCCCATTTATTAATTTATTACTTTATTCAGATTATTTAATTCCTTGTTTCCATTTCTCTAATATGATATCGAATATTCGTCATATAATACTTACATCAAAGCCTCTGAAAATCCATATTTAATTCCGAAATTAATATACGTGTATTCCAGTAAAGTAGTTCACCGACGCCTAATTACTTTAATGAATTATCAGACACACTCTTATATAATATTTTACAGCAACCACTACTCCATAACTCTTATAAAGTTTCGGTGGATATAATTTACACCGCATATTCATAAAATGCTTTTAATATTTTAATCTTCCACTTACATCACGTTATATAAACTCTGTTACTAAATATTGGACTATAATGTAATCATATAATTTTTCATTCAATCCCAAAATATTGTGTTATTTGTTGACTTATTTTTACTTGGAGTACATATATATAATAATTATATGAAATAAATCTTTGATATTGTCATATTACGTACCATTATTGGACTGATTTTTTATAATACTCGTATATTACTTCACCTAGGAAATACATTTAGGCAATTGCAAACTTAATGCTGGGAACAAGTCATTTAAAAAGTGTCAAAATCAAATACAAATATTTTTTAATTAACATAATGATGTATATATATATATATATATGTAAATGAAGCTCATTTATTCTTCATTTAATTTAATAATTACACTTACTATAATTTATTATCTATGGTGACACCACTTTTTACTCTGCATTCATTGTATATTTTAATCTGTAGAAAAAGGCTTTCTGGTTTTGTACGTTTAAGTTTAGCAAGATTTTTGAAAAGGAATAACGATTGTTTAAAATAGAAATTGAAGCAATAGCTTTTAATGTTATTTCTCTTTACAGGTTAGTAAATAATATAATGTTAATTTGTACTAGATATATAGGTAGTCGTAAATTGTATTTGCAAATATTGTATCAAACTTTCAAAAATAAATTTCTCTTTACAGAGCAACAATTACAGTTTCTTGTTACAATTAACAACGTATTACATATACATATATTTGAAATTTAATAATTTTATAGAAAATTTATATACAAATATGAATGAACGTGTTTATGATGTTCCAAATTCTCTCTGAGTTCGTTGACTCAAGTCAGCCCAGCTAACCAAATAGATTGAAATCTACACAACTTTCATCCTATTGCCTGATGCAAATTGGCGACTACGTAATGCTTGTTAGATAAATTCCGAAGGCGATTCTCATCTTTATTTGATTAAGTAAAAGCATTTTAAAATTTCATTTTTCAATGAATTCATTTGGAAATGCTTTCCTTTACGCTTTACGTAATGTTAACATTTGTCTTTTTAAGAGAAGTGGGTTATATCTATAGTGGCACGTTACTTTCATAGAATATTGTAAATACTATTAGTAAAAGCGATATATTTTGGAAAACATTTATAGTTTTAGCGTATCTGAAAGCCCTCGTGTCCTCGAAACCACTTTCTATGTTTGGCAAACACCGCGGTTTTCCGATGTCACGCCTGTCCATTGTTGCAAGGCTTTTAACTTCTGCATATAATACATTGGCCTTTTACCGAAACGTGTCAGCTTGGTATAGCGATACTAGATATTTTTCAGCTTTTATTATGATATGACTTTTTAAAATTATTTATATGTATCTTATAATATTTTATTTTGTTTACAGGGAAACCTCTTCACGTGTCCTAATGGTGAGTTTTAAAAATTATTAATTTATACCCTCTTTATTAATTTGTCATTCAAAGAATTTCAACACACTATATTTTTCTCCTTTTATATGACAATCAATATGGGTAAAATGAAGAAATTGTTAGTACTTTTTGATAATATGTAAGAGAAAATAAGAAGGAAAAATTATGCTTATTAACGCTTTTGAAAAATTTATCTATATTATAAAATAATAAGTACTACTCAATTAATCAAAGTAATATATTAAATAAAATAACCTTCACTATATGTACATTAATTCATTTAAACATTGCTCGTTTTCATAACTATCATACGCATACTAATTTAGTTATTATCTTGTTTTGTTGTTAGCTTTAAACTTGACTTTTCAAACAGCATTTGTATGATGAGCCTCCTCCAAATTCTGTTTTCATGGCTTGCATTCAAATGTACTTATTAATTTAGACGCTCATATCTACCCTAAACTAGCTGGATAGTTTTAATTAAATTTTTAATATCATTAATGTACATTACTATATGAAAAACCAGAGCATATACGAAACTGGAAACCGTAATATTAGATTGTATTTTCAAATTAAATTTGATTAGAAGTGAAAATTATAAATAAAATTATGAATTTACTTAGATAATTTAACTTAGTACTAAAAGTAATAAAGGTCATATATTATTTTATTTTAGAAAAACTGTTATAGTTATCGCGTATATTTCCTTGCGTGTAGTTTCGTTAGGGATCATTAATTACACAATATGGTTGCTTCAAATAACATAATTATTAACGCTATCCACTATTTATAATTGTATAGTTTTACAAAGAATATTCTTGTATATAACCATTTTGTAATTAATTTATATATATGTTTCATAAAAGTATATATTGCAAATATCCTAGCTATATAAATATCGCAAAATAAACATAAATATTTGTTTTATTATAGCCGCTTTGACAGTTATTTTTTTTTATAATTGAAGCAATTGACGAAACTCGGTTTTTTCTTTCAATATTTACAACGAACCCTCATAAACAGAACAATCCGATACTGTTCACAGATTGAGAAGTGTTATATTTCAAAAGTTCAAAGACAAAATAATATTTTTCCCGTGTAAATTTTCACCCAAACTGTCTAACAAGACGCTTTATTATGTGTGTGAATTTTCTACACAGGATGCAACTATTTCCACATTTAATAAAAGAACTTTTTATTATAATAAAAATCTATACATATTTACTAAAATAATAAATATTTTTTGATATCTGTCACATTAAACACAGTTATATTTTTATGGCGCTGTTAAACTCAATATATGACACTGCGACAAAAACCGCGTTGGTGTAATTGTATTATATTCGTATTTTATAACCATCGTACTATCATTATTTCAGTAACGTATTTATCATATAAAAAACAGTATAGTTACATAGTTTAATGATATATGTCGCTAATATCGTGCTAACGACTGAGACATTTTGCCGTGTAAAATAAATTACACGATTCGCCGGTTAAGGATCTTCATCAACCGCATAATTAATGCAAGGAAATTGCCTCTCGACTGTAAACTAAACTATACATACAAGTGTTTACAGAGAGAATATTTCACAACGTTTGTTAACAAAATATACGTCAGAATAGTATTATTAATGAAATCAACATAAAAGTTAACAGTTGAGAGAGATGAATGCTGAAACTTTATTAATATTAAGCATTTAACAGTGTAAGAGGCAAAAGCTCCTCATAAATAATTCAAATATTCAAAAGTGTATTATTCCACAACCTCAGTAAGGTTTCTTACTTATGATTTTTGAAACAAGTGCGCTTGAATTATTTATGTAATACTATATTCTATAAATCCTATCTCCATCTTTTCTTTGTTTATAGTAAGTATAAATAAAATGATTCGACCTAAATGATAATTTTAATCGTATTGTTAGTTTAAACCACTATTAATAATCTCTGAAATAGACTGTATTTTGAAGTATATCTATTTTATCCAAGATAATAATCACTACTTTTTAAAATAAACCATTTTATTACCTTCATATATTTATAAAGTAAAAGATTTTTATATCTTGTATTTGTAATACATAATACATAAATATCTATATATATAGAAAACATTGTATATTAAATTCATATAAGAATGATCCTTTATTAACAGAAAAACTACCGGACATCATAATGTTTAAATAATTAATATATACAACAAATAAAACTGTTCAATATTAAAATCAAATCAAAATATCATCGTGATTCCGGTAATTTTATTCTAAAAGTGGAAATCCTTGTATTTATGAAAACATAAAATTAATTTAGAGAAACTTTTCCAATACGTTAATTAATTAAATTGATGCATTATTCAATTATAATAAAATGTGTTTAAGATAAATACAAGGGAAAGTAATAAAGGCAATTAATTTCTATTTAATAGGTAAAAGACACAATCAAGAGGAAACAAAACGTGTCTTAATTATTGATTTCATTCATAAGATACGTGAGATTTGGTTTAATTAGATCATTACAATATCAAGCTACTAGCTCCTCATACTGGATGGATGAATTGGATATTGGATGATGTACCTTCTCATCCCCAAATAGATTTACATTCACGAACGTTGTGACAAATTCAAGGTTTATTAATAAATTTCCGCATATATCTCTGAGACGTTAATTGAAACTGAGGATGTGGTTTATTAGATATGTATATTTAATTACCTATATACGACATATATAATGATCTTTGATAATATTTGAATAGGAGTTTAATCAAACTAATACATTTAAGAGACAAATCTTTAAAGTGAATCTGGATTCTGGCTTTGCTTTAGAAAACAATATTATTTGATTAAAATATGAATAAAATATGTTAAAATACCTTAATTGTTAAAGTAGGTTTAGTTCGAATTATATCAACATTTAGGAATTCAAGCATTTACCATTTGACAGCCTTGCATTATATTATACATAAAATTGTATTAAACTAAATTAATTAATTGAATTCATGAGATAATAACGTTAAATCAGGTTATACAATAATAGATTGACTCTGATAGAATGCAGGAGTGCCTTAATTTGCTTTATCACAAATTACAAGAATCTTTATGATCTTATTTCGTAATCAATCGGATCAAGTTCAGATCCATAATAAACTCATATTTCTCCTCAAACTCTTGACTAAACTCTAAATATAATTTGGCAATAAGGAACTACGAAGTTTATCCCAACTTAAAATAAATTTATCACGGGTTTAATTGGTTGGAAAACCGTCAGCAAACTTTTTAATTAACAACGCGTCCCTTAACGCGAACGAATCAACACTTAGAGAATAAAACATTTAGATTCAATGAACACGGTCGAATCGAAACTTTGCTAGTTAAAAATACGGACCCAGCAATTCAATAAATGCTCCGTTTTACCGTCATTTAAAATTTTCTAAGTGTTAACTAAACGCTACTACGCTCAATAAGTCAAGTATTCCTGAACTCTGACCGAGACGAAGCTACAACTTAGGTAAACCGACATAGTTCCTCTTTGAACCTAGAGAATACTTCAGATCACTTTGTTTAAATGAAACTAAAGCTAAGTTCGTAGCCATACAATGTTTATAATATTCAACAAAAGTTTCAAAAATAACATGCAAAACTTCCTCAGTATATAACCATACAATTTTAAATCAGAATATTTAAAATAAAATTCTCCTACAACCAAAACAAAATAACGAATACTATTGCTATCTTTTGGTAACTTTCCTGTGAATTAATTATTACTTTTTATATGAATGAAGACGAATTAATATCCGCTCACTGTCTTAATAAATTCCTTGTATATTTAGGATAACTGAACGACTTACCAGACTATTAAATTAAGTCGGTGTTGCCTCGACCTAGAACTTAATCACAGTGTAATACCACATGCATGATTCTACTAACATATCAGTCAACAGCTACCGCTATCATATATCTAAACAAGCGACATGTTCGCTGGTAATCATAGAATTACCGTCTTCCCGGTCATGTATTACTATAGATTACACTCACATACATAAAACATGTATATTTTGACATAGGATGCCTTATACAAGTATATATATGATTACTTACCAAATAAATTAATGGAACTTTGTTACAAATAAATCAATTGTGACAATTTAAGTCAAACATTAATATATCAAAATAGTAGGTATAATTTGTGACACATGTCGTAAAGGAATTAATATAGCCATTATAACTATTGTCGGCATCCGTATCTCGGTATTCTGAAATGGGCCTATTAGTTCATTCAAAACTTGGCACGGTTTGATATTTGGAGCATCACAATCGGGGTCACTTGCTTAGTAAGACTTCACATCAAGAGAGTTAGATGTGTTTGTCCATTACATAGATAGATTCAGTCTCTTTATTGCTCGAAGTGGATTACAACTTAAATTACATTTAAATAGTTTTTGTTCTATCACATGCGGTTATACTACAAAATGATAGTGTACGATTTATTATTTGAACATTTTACGAAATATTAAGAGTTTTATTATAGAAATTATACTTTAAAGTGTATCTGTCTTACCTTTTTAATCCACATTATAATACAATTATAACGCATTTCTCGCTGACACAATGCAACAATTCATCTTTGTCTAGTATTAACATAGTGTAACAACCCAGAGACTTGAGGATTTCAAACTATTAAAGCGGGTGGTAGCAGCTGAAGAGAGCTTTACATATGCATACTGAAAAGCGGGCTTAGTTCCTTTATTGTCTAAACGATATGCATGCATATTATGTTATTATTAACAAGGTTTAAAACCATCATGAGAAATATATAATTTTGATACAAATTACATTAATCTAGTATTTATAATGTCGAAATTAATATTATCTGATTAAAAATTTATGAGTCCCATTGAATTTTAATTATACCAGTTTTCCATTAATTTCAATCTTTAGATCTTGATGTTTCTAACAGGACAGGCCTTGAAGTTGCATTCATGTCAAGTGAAAGGCGATATCGAAGTCACACACGTTACTATGATTCACGATTTACATTTAAAGTAATGACCCAGAAGGAAATGGCTACTTCCCATATACAATATAGATGTTACTTATAATATTAATTCATTATTCTTAGTAGATTCTGGCATCAAAGAACAATTGGTTTTGTATACAAGACGTGTACTATAACGTAAGGATATTAGATTTTATCCAGAACGTCATAGAAATCCTAAAACAATTCGATACGTAATACAATCTCCGGTGTACACAAGAGGATGGCTTTTCAAAGGAAGCCACAGTGTTTCCATGACATTCGAATCCGATTCCCCAGTAATACAGTTATGAACCTAGTCACCCGTGTCCGTTATGGGAATCAAATATTCGCTAGAAATAATTCATCCAATGAATTGCCATTTGAGACTTTTAACCTATTTGTCATTCACAATTTCAAAGACAAAACTTCCAAAAGTAAATTCTAAGTAACAATACACATTGTATGCTAATGAATTTCAATTATATTAGAATAAGACCAGAAAAAGCGATAACGTATATTAGGTAAATGAATTGAGGTCAATAATGTGGAATGTTAAATTCAACGCATTTCGCTATAGAAATGAATATGTAGGTCACACATTGCTTCGTGTTGTGCGGAGTTGTGAAGCGTAAATCTATAGCGATCTTAACGATCATCGGCAAACTCACACGCTCAACTTGTCACTATTTGTTTTTTGTTCACAAACACGGATGCTACATTTCTTATCGAAAACTGAAACTTGATGCAATCAATTTTATTAACACCATTCGAATCTCTAATAACTAATGAGTGAAATTGCTTAATATTCAAAGCGACATCGTACTTTCTTTAAGAGGGTGCTGACACAATTATTATGCCAAGTACGATTGTTACTTAAATGTTTTCTCTCCACAAACGACAAGCCCTAGAATAGAAAGTGACCTGATAAATGTAAAGCTAGCCAGACTAAACCACTTAAACGTTGCTCGTATTGTACGGCGTAAATATATACTCTAAAAGTAACTGTTTATTAAATGTGTTATTTTATATATAAAATTATATAAAGAACAAAACATAACAATCGTGATTTTCTCTGTATGTAGTTTAATTTCAAAGATATAATTATATTTTCTTTTTCTTTTCAGGCTGGGAACTAAAGGGGCTTAATTGTTACAAATTTTTCAATATCAGACATTCTTGGGAAAAAGCAGCTGAATTATGTCGAAGGTATGTGAAGTTTTACAGAAGTCATTTATGACGTTTCTAATAAATGTGACATATAAAGTTTTCAAATCTTGATATATGTTTTCTATTTATGAGAATAATAAACGTTATTAAATATTTCAACAGGTATGGAAGCGAACTGATGGTGATAGATAGTTATACAGAAAATAACATGACTGCAAATATGGTGCCACCCAGCCCGAGCAATAGTAATTATTGGCTGGGACTCGCGAGTGTTGACGATTTGAGAACGAATACTTTAGAGTCCGCAGCTGGAGCCTTAGTCTCTCAGTACGCTGGTTATTGGGACCTTAAACAGCCTAATCCTAAAAACGGAGAATGCGTCGATGTCCACGTTACAAGCGAAACACAATCCTGGGAATTGACAACATGCGAAACCCTTCTGCCTTTTATGTGTAAGGCAAACGCATGCCCCGCAGGTAGGATTTTCACATTGAGTGATTACGAAAATGTTTAAACTTTTGAGAGTTATCAAAGTAATAACAGCAATTATAACTATCCTTTTAAAGCAACTGTTTTTGTGTATTAATAATTAAACCATTATCAATAAATTAATGAGCATATGAATGCATGTTTGTAACATAATATATTTTCACTTCAAATCACAAATCATTACCTTCAAACAATTGATACCATTGTAACTCAATTACAGGAACCTTCCATTGTTCAAACGGAAGATGTATCAATGCAGCCTTCAAATGTGACAAGCAAGACGATTGTGGCGACGGATCGGATGAAATGGATTGTGCTGGCGACTGTCATTTTTATATGGCCAGCAGTGGAGATGTTGTAGAAAGTCCTAACTATCCTCATAAATATCTTCCCTTCAGCGACTGTAAATGGACACTTGAAGGACCTCAAGGACAAAATATAGTTTTACAGTTCCAAGATTTTGAAACTGAAAAGTCTTTCGATACTGTTCAAATCTTAGTTGGTGGTCGAACCGAAGATAAATCTGTGAACCTAGCAACTTTATCAGGAAAACAAGATTTATCTAGCAAACTTTATGTATCTGCTTCTAATTTTATGATAATTAAATTTACTTCTGACGGATCCGTAGAACGTAAAGGTTTCCGTGCATCATGGAAAACTGAATCCTCAAACTGTGGCGGGATTTTAAGAGCAACACCTCAGGGCCAAGTACTAAATTCTCCTGGTTACCCAAATAGTTATCCTGGAGGATTAGAATGTATGTACATTATTGAAGCGCAACCAGGCAGAATTGTTTCATTAGAAATAGAGGATTTAGATTTGGAAATGAACAGGGATTATATAGTAATTAAGGATGGAAACACACCATCAAGTCCTGTTTTAGCGAGATTAACTGGTGCTGGTGAAGATAACGAAAAGGTGGTTATATCCACTACTAATCACTTATACATGTACTTCCGAACAAGCCTTGGTGATTCTAAGAAAGGATTCAATATGAGATATTCGCAAGGATGTAGAGCAACCATAATAGCAGCTAACGGAACATTTAACTCTCCAGCATTTGGTCTGAGTAATTATCCTAATAATCAGGAATGTTTATATCGTCTTAAAAATCCAAACGGTGGTCCTCTTTCTTTGAAGTTTGATGAATTCAGCATACATCCCTCCGATATAGTACAAGTATTTGACGGGGCTAGTACAGGTGGTCTTCGTTTACATTCAGATAATGGATTCACAGTAAAGCCAAGAATAACTTTAACTGCCTCGAGTGGTGAAATGTTAATAAGATTTATATCCGACGCAGTCCATAATGGTGTTGGTTGGAAAGCGACATTTTCTGCAGGTAACAACTTATACAAAATATATAGGTTATATTATCCTATATGTATCTATGAATTCTTATCTATTCATATTTTTTTCAGATTGCCCACCTCTTAAACCCGGAATAGGCGCATTGGCATCTAATAGAGATACAGCTTTTGGAACTACTATAACATTTTCGTGTCCAATTGGCCAGGAATTTGCAACTGGTAAAACAAGAATTACTACCAAATGTTTAGACGGTGGTAAATGGTCCACAACGTACATTCCCAGTTGTCAAGGTAAGCAGAAATTAATTCAGTCAAGTTTAAAGGTATCAACAAAAACAAAAAGGTAATAATTACTTCTGTATAATTTTCAGAGGTTTACTGCGGTCCAGTACCCCAAATCGATAACGGTTTCTCTATTGGTTCAACTAACGTAACATATCGCGGTGTTGCTACATATCAATGTTACGCCGGATTTGCTTTCCCAACTGGACAACCTATCGAAAGAATTTCATGCTTATCGGATGGGCGATGGGAAAGGACACCAACCTGTCTTGGTAATAACTCTTAACAAGATAATAATATACAATATTATCAACTAAACAAAACTATCTAAAAGGACACTAGGACACATTTCAATAAAACTAAATTTAATATTTACAATTTATATTTTTAGCTTCTCAATGTGTGGCATTGCCTGACGTTCCACATGCTAATGTTACTATTCTAAATGGAGGTGGTCGTAGCTATGGTACAATTGTAAGGTATGAATGCGAACCTGGATATGTTCGTTCTGGTCAACCAGTACTTCTATGCATGAGCAACGGAACATGGTCAGGAGATGTACCTACATGTTCAAAAGCCATCTGTCCCAAATTCCCGGAAATAACTAATGGATATATTGTTGACCAAACTAGAGTATACATGTTTGGTGACGAAGCACGAGTACAATGTAACAAAGGTAAATAAATTCAATGAAATTAAAAAATAATGTGTTATCTATCTTTATATAGGAATCAGATCTTAATACGTAATGTTTGATTTAAGGATATAAACTAAACGGACCAAGTATTATCAAATGTGGTCCTAACCAGCAATTTGACGCTATTCCAAAATGTGAGGATATTAATGAATGTGTTAATAGCCAGTGTGATTCCATATCAACGGAATGTAAAAACACTCAGGGTGGATTTTATTGCCCTTGTCGACCTGGTTTCACACCAAATTTAGACTGCAGACCAGTAGGCGACTTAGGTTTAATAAATGGTGCTATTCCTGATGAATCAATTACAACTTCTGCACCAGAACCTGGATATAACGTTGGGGTAAGGTTTTGAAACTTCGTTTTATAATATATATATTTATATATTTATTTATTTATTTATCTTATGACATAATATAAATGTTTATATAACAAATTATATTTTCTCAAATTAAGATGGTGCGCCTTAACAACGGAGGAGGATGGTGTGGAAATAATTTGGAAGCCGGAGCGAACTGGATTCTTGTAGATTTAAGAGCACCAACAATCGTAAGAGGTTTCAGAACAATGAGCGTAATGAGAGCTGACGCAAATATCGCCTTTACATCTGCTATAAGAATACAATATACAAATGATTTGACTGACGTTTTTAAAGACTACACTAACCCTGATGGAACAGCTGTTGAATTTCGTATTCTAGAACCTACTTTATCAGTACTGAATCTGCCAATGCCTATTGAAGCGCGTTATGTTAAGTTCAAGATTCAAGATTATGTGGGAGCACCCTGTCTCAAATTGGAAATTATGGGTTGTGCTAGATTTGACTGCACAGATATTAATGAATGTGCTGAAAACAATGGTGGATGTGACCAAAAATGTATCAACACGTAAGTATTTATATTTTAATGTGAAAATTCGGCGGACGTTTATTGCGATAATCACGTTAGAAGTTCTTATATTGTAAATGTTATGTTTCAGAGCCGGAAACTTCTCATGTGCTTGTAACATTGGCTACGAACTATACTCATCTAACGGTACAGCTGGCTTTGCCATTGAACTTTCCGAAACTGGTGAACGAGACGGAGATACCTATCAAAGAAATAAGTCCTGTGTGCCTGTCATGTGTCCATCTCTATCCTCTCCTGAAAACGGTCTTCTATTGTCAACTAAGAGTTCTTATCATTTTGGTGACATAATTGAATTCCAATGTGATTTCGGATATGTAATGTCTGGTTTCTCTTCTCTTCTGTGTACTTCAAGTGGAACATGGAACGGTACAGCTCCGGAATGTCAATGTAAGTAATTTTGTTCATATAATGTTAGCAATTGTCAATAACAAGAGTTGTGGTTTAACGTAGAACTTTTTATTACAGACGCTCGCTGTGTTACCTTGTCTGATGATAAAAATGATGGTTTAAAAGTGATAAGAGACGATCCTGAAAGTGTTTTGGTACCATACAGAGATAATGTCACGATTACCTGCACCTCACCTGGCCGAGAATTACGCAATACAGTCACATCTCCGTTTAGACAATGTGTTTACGATCCAAAACCGGTAACTATAATCTAATTTATTACAACGAAACTAAGAATTAACTACTTATTTAATTAATATTGATTTCATTATTTTTATATTTTTAAAGGGTCTCCCAGACTACTGGCTCTCAGGAGCACAACCTCAATGCCCTCGTAAAGACTGTGGGATCCCAATGCCGACACCTGGTGCTGAATATGGTCAATATTTAGATACGAAATACCAGAGTTCGTTCTTTTTCGGGTGTCAAAATACTTTTAAGCTTGCTGGTCAAACAAGCAAACATGATAACGTTGTTAGATGTCAAGCAAATGGTATTTGGGACTTTGGAGATTTAAGGTGTGAAGGACCAGTGTGTGCGGATCCTGGCCGACCAGCAGATGGTTATCAAATCGCCAGAAGCTATGAACAAGGATCAGAGGTTCTTTTTGGATGTTCCAGACCTGGTTACATTTTAATAAATCCCAGGCCTATCACTTGCATGCGTGAACCAGAATGTAAAGTAATTAAGCCTCTTGGTTTAGCATCAGGGAGAATACCTGATTCGGCTATTAATGCTACTTCAGAAAGACCTAACTATGAAGCGAAAAATATAAGATTAAACTCCGTCACCGGTTGGTGTGGTAAACAAGAAGCTTTCACTTATGTCAGTGTTGATTTGGGAAAAGTATATCGAGTTAAAGCTATTTTAGTAAAAGGTGTTGTTACTTCAGACATTGTGGGCCGTCCTACTGAAATCAGATTTTTCTATAAACAAGCAGAGACAGATAATTATGTAGTGTACTTCCCTAACTTTAATTTGACGATGAGAGATCCAGGCAACTATGGAGAATTAGCTATGATTACTTTACCAAAATATGTGTCAGCAAGATTTGTTATTTTAGGAATAGTTAGTTTTATGGACAATGCTTGTCTTAAATTTGAACTTATGGGTTGTGACGAACCTTCTGTTGAACCTTTATTAGGTTATGACTATGGTTACTCACCTTGTGTAGGTAAGTTTCAAATTATCGTATTGTACATATAAAATATTATAATTTATTTAATGATACATTTTAACCGATATTTTTATAATACAAAATGCTCTGTTTTTAGATAATGAGCCACCAGTGTTCCAAAATTGTCCTCAGCATCCAATAGTTGTACAAACGGATGTAAACGGTGGCCTTTTACCCGTTAATTTCACTGAACCTACTGCTACTGACAATTCTGGGGCTATTGCGAGATTAGAAGTAACTCCACAACATTTCAGGACACCTATACAAGTATTTCATAACATGGTAGTACGATATGTAGCGTTTGATTTTGATGGAAATGTTGCCATTTGTGAAGTGAATATTACTGTGCCTGATTACACACCACCAAAACTAAGTTGCCCACAAAGCTATGTCATAGAATTGGTTGACAAGCAAGATAGTTACGCTGTTAATTTCAATGACACGAGGAGAAGAATAAATGCAACCGATGCTTCTGGTGAGGTTACCTTAAAGTTTATTCCGGAAAGAGCTGTTATACCCATACGAGGTTATGAAAATGTTACTGTCATAGCTTCCGACAAATACGGAAACAAAGCCCAATGTTACTTCCAAGTAAGTTTTGTTTATATTTTAAATAGTTTAATAGCTTCTCTAGTAGAATTGCTAAAAAATATTTTTAATTTTAGGTGTCCGTGCAAGCTACTCCTTGCGTAGATTGGGAATTAATGCCACCAGCACATGGGGCCCTGAATTGTTTACCTGGTGACAGAGGAATTCAATGCATCGCCACCTGCAGTCCTGGGTATAGATTTACAGATGGAGAACCTGTTAAAACATTTGTATGCGAAACCAAACGGCAATGGGTCCCAACTGCGGTAGTACCTGATTGCGTTTCTGAAAGTAAGAAAGCATTTAAATACATTTAAATAATAAAATGTTCACAATGTTATGCCGCTATCATTGTTTTTCTTTTTCTTCAGATACTCAACAAGCTGCTTATCATGTTGTTGCAAGTGTACAGTACCGGGCTCTAGGTGCAGTTTCAAACGCTTGCTTACCGCAATACAAAGATCTACTTGCCCAATATGATAATGTTTTAAATGAACGTCTATCTCAACGCTGTTCTGCCGTGAACGTGAACATAAACGTAACCTTCGTAAAAGCAATGCCAAGTCTTCTAGATGAAAATGTAGTAAAAATGGACTTTGTCTTAGCTGTAACCCCTGCCATAAGACAAACCCAACTATACGACCTTTGCGGATCTACACTGAATCTCATTTTCGACTTATCTGTACCCTATGCTAGTGCGTTGATTGAACCAGTTCTAAACGTTTCTTCAATCGGAAATCAATGTCCGCCTCTAAGAGCCATTAGAAGTTCCATTTCCAGAGGTTTTACTTGCAGCGTTGGTGAAGTTCTTAATATGGATACAAATGATGTACCTAGATGTCGTAAGTACTTTTTTTGTTCAAATGTTCATATCTATGTACAGTATTAGATTACTTAAAATATGACTTTTTTTAACTTTTCAGTCCATTGCCCGGCCGGAACCTTTGCTGGAGAAAAACAAAAAAGCTGTACGATGTGTCCACGTGGCTACTTCCAAAATCAAGCTCGTCAAGGAGCGTGCTTAAAATGTCCTCACGGTACTTTTACGAGAGAAGAAGGTTCAAAAGAATTGACCGATTGTATACCTGTATGTGGTTATGGAACTTATTCGCCTACTGGTTTAGTGCCATGTTTGGAATGCCCTCGTAACAGTTACACTGGGGAACCGCCTTTGGGAGGATTTAAAGACTGTCAAGCTTGCCCAGTCAATACTTTCACATATCAACCAGCTGCATCTGGTAAAGATAAGTGCAGAGCCAAATGTGCACCCGGAACTTATTCACCAACTGGGCTAGCACCTTGCTCACAGTGCCCTAGAAACTTCTATCAAAATTCAATTGGCCAGACTTTGTGTATGGAATGCCCTACCAATATGAAGACAGTTAGTACAGGTGCTACAGGACTCGAAGAATGTTTACCTGTTGAATGTTCGAACAGTGCTTGTCAACATGGCGGACTTTGTGTACCGAAAGGACATGGTGTTCAATGTTATTGTCCCGCCGGTTTTTCTGGTCGAAGATGTGAAATTGATATAGATGAGTGTGAAAGTCAACCTTGTTATAATGGCGGTACCTGTATTGACTTACCTCAAGGATACAGATGTTCCTGTCCCACAGGATATGGTGGTATAAACTGCCAAGAAGAAAAATCTGACTGTAGAAATGACACATGTCCCGAACGAGCAATGTGTAAGGATGAACCAGGCTACAATAATTATACGTGTCTTTGTCGATCTGGCTACACTGGAATTGATTGTGACATAACAGTAAGTCTGGTGGTTATTTACAAAAGAAAACAACAATATATTTGACATATTTTTTATACTTTTTACTTTCATTTTAGATCGATCCTTGCTCCGCTAATGGCAATCCTTGTAAGAATGGTGCCTCATGTACTGCTCTTCAGCAAGGAAGATATAAATGTGAATGTCTACCAGGATGGGAAGGCCAACTTTGCGAGATCAATACGGATGACTGCATTGAAAAACCCTGTCTGCTTGGAGCCCCATGTACAGATTTAGTTAATGACTTTAGCTGCTCTTGTCCACCAGGATTTACAGGAAAACGCTGTCATGAAAAGATTGACTTATGTTCTAACGAACCGTGTAAGCATGGTATTTGTGTGGATAAATTATTTGTGCATCAATGTGTTTGTGACCCAGGTTGGTCTGGACCATCCTGTGATATTAACATAAATGAGTGTGTAATTTCACCCTGTGAAAATGGTGGCCGTTGCATTGATAGTATCGATGATTTTACCTGTAGTTGTGAAGCTGGTTATACAGGCAAACGGTGTCAACACACCATTGACGATTGTGCGTCAGACCCTTGTCAGAATGGCGCAACATGTATCGATCAAATAGATGGATTCACGTGCAAATGTCGTCCCGGATATATAGGGCTTCAATGCGAGACAACTATCGATGAATGCCTTAACGAGCCATGTAATCCAGCAGGCACTGAGAGATGTGTTGATTTAGATAACAAATATCAGTGTGTATGTCGAAATGGATTCTCTGGAGAAATGTGTCAGACAAATATAGACGATTGTGCATCTGATCCATGTTTCAATGGTGGATCTTGCAAAGACGAAATAGGAGGCTATAAATGTGCGTGTCAACCCGGTTGGACTGGAAAACGTTGTGAACATGATATTGGAAACTGCATGAATTTGCCTTGTCAAAATAATGCCAAATGTATCGACCTATTCCAAGACTACTTTTGTGTGTAAGTAAATTATATTTACTCTAAAAGCTCTGCTTATATAAAATGTATATATATTTTTTATTAACAATTCTATTTTCTATCTTTTGTTTTACTTATAGATGTCCTAGTGGAACGGATGGCAAGCAATGTGAAACAGCCCCTGAGAGATGTATCGGTAGTCCATGCATGCACGGTGGCAAATGTCAAGATTTTGGTTCTGGTCTCAATTGTACTTGCTCTATCGACTACACTGGTATTGGCTGTCAATATGAATTTGATGCCTGCGATGCTGGACTGTGTCAAAATGGAGCAACTTGTATTGATGAAGGAGAAGGATATTCTTGCAACTGTGCTCCAGGTTTTACAGGAAAGAATTGCAATGAAGATATTATCGATTGCAAAGATAACTCTTGTCCACCTTCAGCAACATGTATCGATTTACCAGGCAGATTCTATTGCCAATGTCCCTTCAATATGACTGGTGATGATTGCAGAAAAGGTTGGTTTCCCTTACAAATATTATGTCATTTATTTATCTTTGTGTGTTAAATCTTCTTATAATTAAATATGAATAATATGGTTACAGCAATCAGTGTGGATTATGACCTCTACTTTAGTGATCCATTGAGGTCCAGTGCAGCGCAAGTAGTACCATTCGCAACAAATTCTGCTAAAAGTCTAACTATTGCTATGTGGGTACAGTATACCCAACAAGACGAAGGAGGTATATTCTTTACGGCTTACGGTGTCAGGTACGTATTTTTGGTTTATAATTTAATTTTTACCAATATTTTTAATTTGTTGTTTAACAAAAAAACATTATTATTTCAGTAATTCTTATCTCGCATTAAATAGAAGAACTATCATCCAAGCTCATTCAAGCGGCGTACAAGTTTCTCTCTTCCCTGAACTTCAAGACGTTTACTTAAGTTTCGGAGAGTTTGCGACTGTTAACGACGGACAGTGGCACCATGTTGCACTTGTATGGGATGGAAACAATGGTGGTGAATTGACTCTTATTACAGAAGGTTTGATTGCCAGCAAATTATCAGGATATGGCAGCGGAAAAACTCTGCCTCCCTAGTAAGTAAATAAATCTAAATTATAAGATATTTCTAATCAAACAATATACTTACTATTTGCTTTATTATAGCGTGTGGGTAACACTAGGAAAACCACAATCCGACAATCCAAAGGCTTACACCGAGTCAGGCTTCCAAGGACATCTTACAAAAGTGCAAATATGGAACCGTGCTCTAGATGTAACAAATGAAATACAAAAACAAGTACGAGACTGCCGAACTGAGCCTGTATTATTCAGTGGCTTAGTTTTAACCTGGACTGGGTACGAAGACACCATTGGTGGTGTGGAAAGAATTGTTCCTTCTCACTGTGGCCAGAGAGTTTGCCCGAATGGTTACGGAGGACCTAAATGTCAAAAACTTCAAGTAGATAAAGAACCACCAAGAATTGAACGCTGCCCTGGTGATTTATGGGTGATTGCTAAAAATGGTTCATCAATAGTAAGCTGGGATATGCCCATGTTTAGCGACAATGTGGGAGTGTCAAAAATAGTAGAAAAATCTGGACATAAACCTGGTCAAAATTTGGCTTGGGGAGCTTACGATATTGCGTATATAGCTTATGACAATGCAGGAAATGCTGCTACGTGTACCTTCAAAGTGACCGTCTTGTGTAAGTTTCTTTTAATATTTATATTTACATATAATATAATTTATAGAATTTAAACATAAACTTATTTTTACAGCTGAATTCTGTCCTCCATTACCTGATCCTCTTGGTGGATATCAATCATGCCGAGATTGGGGTGCAGGTGGTCAATTCAAGGTTTGCGAAATTGCTTGCCGCGATGGGTTAAGGTTTTCACAATTGGTGCCTCCATTCTATACTTGTGGAGCTGAAGGATTCTGGAGACCAACGAATGATCCGACTTTACCTCTTATTTATCCCGCTTGCTCTCGTAAGTTTCTTCTTTTATAAAACAGATCGCTTCAATTGATTAAAAAAAACAATTGCTTACTTATATAATTTTATTTTACAGCGGCTTCACCAGCACAACGTGTTTTCAAAATATCAATGTTGTTCCCAAGTTCGGTTCTTTGTAATGACGCTGGCCAAGCAGTCCTCCGTCAGAAAGTTCGTAGTGCAATAAATCAACTAAACAGAGATTGGAACTTCTGCTCTTATGCCGTCGATGGTAATAATTAATAATTAATTTTCCCCAACAGTGTTATATAAAATCTGCCATAAACTAAAGTTTCTACTCATTAGGTACACGGGAGTGCAAAGAATTGGACATTAATGTAAAATGCGATCACCGTGGCAACACCCGACAAACGAGACAAGTTTCGTCACCGCCATCTGTTTCCTCCAAAGACACATATGTTCTTGATGCGATTATACCTGTAGAAGAGTAAGTACTTTACTAAAAATATTTATAATTTAATCCTTATCTAAATAGAGTTGAGGTAAAGGTACATATTAAGGTGGTAGAATCAAAACGTTTTATCTTTATGATGGTAGTTTATGGTACATACTTTTGTAAGAAATAAATTATAGTAGTTTTCATTTGGTTAATGAGAGAGGTGAAAGTGCCCTTATACTTTGTTAGATAGGTGTTGGATAGTTGATAAAAAAACATAATAGACATTCATAACAATTAGATCGCACTCTTTAATAACCTTAGATTGTAGCATAAAGTCTACATAATTATTTTGTATTTCTTACGATATAAATATTTAAAGTTAGAAGCACTGTTTTGTACAACTTTAACAAATGATGCAACGGCATGTTATTACAACACTATTGCATGAAATTTATCTTGCACCTAGGACACGAAGCAATAGAGAAGGCCGTCAAGCTGGAGACACATACAGCATCGAGATCTCTTTCCCTGCTGTAAAGTAAGTTACACAATTGCACCTTGGCACCTTTCAGTTGTAAAGAATAAAAAAAATATATTGTAAATATGTTTCCAAATATATAAATAATATCCTTAAATTAGTATGACATACTTTGATTTATTAGTGTTCTAATAAGTTTATACTTTAAAGCGACCCCGTAATCAATGGTGGAAATAACGAACGATCAAGTGTGAAACGATTACTGGAGAAACTAATTCTTGAAGACGAACAGTTTGATGTACGAAATATACTGCCAAATACCGTCCCTGACCCTGCAAGCCTTAAATTGGACTCGGACTACGCTTGTCCCATGGGACAAGTTGTCATGGCTCCAGATTGTGGTAGGTTTATTCTATCAAAAGTTTAACTAAAAATTATTAACTTTTGCACCAAGCATTAATATATATAGAGGATTCCGCAACTTTTAATATATAGTTCTAAATTTATTTTTTTTGTAAAATGTAGCCGAAATAAACAGTTCTTTTTCCTATATCATATTTGATAATGGATAAAACAAAATTTCTATGCTATTTACAGTTTCTTGTGCTGTGGGAACTTACTTGGACACCGCAAGCGACTCCTGCAAACCTTGTCCTGCTGGCACATACCAATCTGAATCTGGACAGTTACAATGTACATCATGTCCAACGATAGCTGGACAACCTGGCGTTACCCAAGCTACTGGTGCCAGAAGCGCTGGGGACTGTAAAGGTAACCTTAAATATATAAAAGTCGAAAGATAATAATCTACGAGACTTCTCATCTTATTGAAAAAACTTATATTGCATATTACTATTTTAAAGTAATCACAGTAAATTTTATGACAGAGACAGGCTGAGATAACCAACTTACATTGTTTTCTTTTACTTTACAGAGAGATGTGCTGCTGGTAAATATTACGATGCTGAGGCGGAACTTTGCCGGCCATGCGGTCACGGGTCCTACCAACCAAAAGAAGGAGCGTTCACTTGCATCTCCTGCCCGAGAGGACAAACAACTCGCGCTACTGAAGCTGTGTCGGCAGCAGAATGTAGAGATGATTGTCCTTCAGGTAAAATGTTCACGAAATTGTATGAAACCAATAACTTCAGTGCAATTCTTTTTTGCCTTATGAGTCGAGTTTTTATTTTTTCTGACAACTTTTAGTCTACTAATCAAATATTCTTTGGTCTTTTTAACAAATCATTCTTGAATCTCCGATAATAGACGAACTCTAATATATGTATAAAGATATTCTGAATTGTTCAACATTTATGTATTTGTAATAGTAGTACTAGCGCATAAAGTTCTGTATCCTCGTTATTATAAAGAAATTTTATTGTAGGGGAACAGCTTAGCAGTGACGGTGGTTGCGAGCCGTGTCCTCGTGGTACATGGAGATCCAACGGTTCTGGTGCCTCATGTGCTCCGTGCCCACCTGGAACCACCACCCCACAGACAGGCGCTGCCTCGCCAGACCAATGCTCGCTGCCAGTCTGTAAACCTGGTAGGTTTATTATAACGTATATGAAATAAACCATTTTTTAATCAAATTGTATTCGGTGCTGAAAATTATTCTCACTGTTCATTGCAACACATAATTATAATTAATAAAATTTCATTTCGTTTTTCATTATTCAGAATACATTAAACATGAAAATCAGACTTTATTTAATTAATTAATGATACGAAAAAGAAAGATATAGACTTTGATAAAAGGAACAGTTTTGGTTGAATAAATGTTATTTTTGTTTGACATGTATCGTAGAAATTAATGAGTTTCTTTTAATATTCTAGGTTCTTACCTGAACAGTACTCTTAACTCATGCATACAATGCAAGAAGGGAACCTACCAGCCAGAAACTCAACAAACCCTCTGCATCCCTTGTCCGATTAACACCAGCACCAAAGAACCTGGAGCGGTGAGTACATTTATAGTTTATTATCCTTACTCTTATAATGGCTCAGTGCCTTCGAATTTTTATGTCTAGTCTCGATTATAACAACCGAATTTAAGAGTATAAAAAACAGGAATACTTCATGATTTATTAAACGAAACATTTCTATATTACATCTGCACTTAGCGAATTGGAATGTGAAATTTCATACATGAGGTCTAGTAAAGATAAATTGTTGAATATTCATCTCAAGCTTCATAATACAGCAGGTTATAAACAACGCAAACGCTCAGCAGCCAGCAGAGCACATGTTTATATAATAAGCTAAAAACCACGAGCGAGTTACATCGCTTGGAATTTCTTTATGCAAAGTTTCAAGCATCTGACTTTCCTTATAAAAATTCATAACACTGTTTCATACTGGTCGTAGTAAATAATAATTTTCTAGGTTGACATCTCTTAAATGAGTTATTAAAGAAACCTATTTATTGTTGTCTATGTAATTACTCCTGTAGCATAAAGTTACTGCAACAAGTTAGTGTTAATTAGGAGTGCGGTGAATAATTAATTAATCTACTGTTATACGTCTTGCAAACAAACATCGTGCTAACTTGATGAGTCAATTCGGTCTAATTGTATGAGAGACATCCAAACCTCGTTATACGATCATCTAAAATGATCGCTTTAGTTATAAATAAACTTTACACAAAAGAAAACTTCATTAGTTCAATGTTAGTTTAACGTGTGTCACCTAAAATTGCAATTATACTTTATTGTTAATCACATAATAATTGTTTATTAAATTGAATCCCCATACCAACAAAAATATAAAATAATATTAAGGTATAAGCAGTCAACATTACTTTCGATACGAACGTGCTTGTGGAACTGTTTTGCTATTTAAATCATATTGTTAACGCATTACTACTTGTTAGTTGTTACTTGGAGATCATTCGGGAATTTACTTAAATAATTTATAATAATATCACATTTAAATGAATTTATGTATCTCAATATTGGTAGGAAGCCAAACATCTTACAGACTTTTGTATTTAAATAAATGACAAAACTTTAAAAACAAGATTCGCTGAGTACTGACTTTCGACTTTAAATGAATGAGATAAAGACTTTTTTTCCTTTTCCCCAGTCATCTGAATCTGAATGCACGAATCCTTGCGAGATGAGTGCTGAGATGCACTGCGATGTTAACGCACACTGCCTCCACCTACCGGAGACTGGAGAATTTAAATGTCAATGCAGATCAGGATTCAATGGAACCGGCAAAGTTTGTGTTGGTAAGTAAATATTATTCATGTTATATGTACAAAAAAGATTTTATTTTAAACTAATTTTTGAAAACCGTTTATTTCAACTACTTATTGTTAGTAGCTTTGCGTTTATCTAGTTATTTGGATGTTGTAATAATGATTTGATACTTAGACAACACTTTAAAATCAAATAGATATTCTTGACCTATTATAGATGGTATATATATAATTAAATCGAAATATGTACATATGTACATACAATCAGAAATTCATTTCAGTTTAACAAAATCTGCGTGTCGTGAGGCGTTGTATGATTAAAATTGTTTTTAAACGAATAATATGTTTATCATCAGATGTTTGCATTGACTTCTGCGACAATGGCGGTGAATGCGTGAAGGATGTTCGAGGTGAACCTTCCTGCCGATGCAGTGGTTCTTTCACTGGACGTCATTGTCGCGAGAAGAGCGAATTCGCCTACATCGCTAGCGGAGTCGCTGGAGGCGTTATATTTATCATATTCCTTGTACTGCTTGTCTGGATGATATGCGCCAGGTAGGAAAATTTATAGCTTAATAGCATACTTGAAATTACACGTAATTTTAATATTGAATTCAATCATATAGATAATGTGATCTCTTTAAAACATTCCAACTTATTCTGGCAACAAAATAAAGTCTTTACATAATTGCATTTATCAATTTTTTAATCAACTGGGATAATGCGTGAAATGGTATTTAAAATTGCAAAGAATTATAGGACGGCCTGTAATATTATAACATTTTCTTCAGATCGACAAAGAAGAGGGAACCAAAGAAGACCTTAACACCAGCTATAGACCAAAACGGATCACAAGTTAACTTCTACTACGGAGCGCACACACCATACGCGGAATCCATAGCACCTTCTCATCATTCCACTTACGCACATTACTATGATGACGAGGAAGACGGCTGGGAAATGCCAAATTTTTATAACGAGACCTACATGAAAGAAAGTCTCCACAATGGTATGAACGGAAAAATGAACAGCTTAGCGCGGTCAAACGCTAGCATTTACGGAACTAAAGAGGATTTATATGACAGATTAAAAAGACACGCGTACCCTGGTAAGAAAGGTTGGTATTTGGAGCACTTAGATTAGTGCGCACTTTTTATTCCTTACACAGCTATATCACAGCTTATGTAAAATACTTGCAGACCTTCCCTAGTTATCTGTAAATATTGCATTAACGTTCTTATTATAAAATAATTAAACAAAATAATGTAAATAAATATATTTGTTGCGAATGAGAATATTAATATGATGAAATATAATATGTTATCATTACAGATAAGAGTGACAGCGACAGCGAGGGTCAATAAACAGAGATGAAACTGTATTGTCATATTCTGGTCAAACTTACATAATACTGTGTCGTATTAACTCGGTTGTAATAACAACGGTTCACTGCCGGGACTACTTATAGGGATATCTACTCTACTAGCTTTATTATTAGGTTTAATTTTATAATGACAAGTGGATTAACACATTCACTGTTTAATTGCAGCCCTACCAAATATAATTATATGTCACAAAGCTGTTATCGTAACAGTACCCTTACTGCTTGTTTGTTTGTTTGAACTAAATACGGAGAGTTAAAAGTTTTTTATTCATCAATCTTGACTATCATGTTTATAAACGACTAATTATCAAACATCTGTATTTATTTTGTTTAATCAAACTTGTGGTAGAGTACAGGCCTTATAGAACTCCAAGCGACATTACAGTGAATGTGTTGATTTGACATATCTTTTTTTATATAAATCAACGAAAAATATATGCTCAAATATTTATAGGCCATATTATACAGGTCTTGGATGAATTTAATTGTTTTTTAATGCCATTCCGTCAGCATTCCATTGTAATATAACAAATTTAATGTAAATATAATTCAGCTGTATATTTATAGACCTCAGAAGTGGTGTTAGTTTTAACTAATATGATAATTATTTTAAGTGAGTTCTGCTAAAAAGTTGTGTTGATATTTAAGTCAAATGTTTATGTTCTGTATATTATAAACTGGACTGTCTTGTTTTAATGTAAATCTATATATGTATATGTGTGGGTGTATATTTAGAAAGAATGTATAGAATGTCTATGTTAAGTGAATAATATTGTAATATTATAAGTATTTTTATACGACGTCATAATAAAATTTTTATACGATTTTTTATTATTATTATTGTAAAAATACTCAATATATCATGGTGAGGAATCCATCACAATTATTACCGTATTAGTGAATAAATTAACCGTAACTTTTTATGAAAAAATAATAATAATAAATTAACATTACGTATTGATACCGCATTTTCATTAAGCCCACTAATTTTATTTAAAGTAAAATATATATACAGAAAAGTACGCAAATATGTATATTTTATTATAAAATGATTTGTTATTTTTTACATAGATTAAAATAAACACGTATAATTTAATTTTAAGCATGAGACGGACGAAATTTTATCTAATCATTATATGTATAAACAGGCCTTACTTAACAAAAAGTGTATGTTTTCAAAGACAACTTGCGGTCCTGTGCTGATAAAAGTATTGAAACCGCTCAGGATTTCTAACAAAACAAGATAAAATCAACCAAGGATCACGACGGCAAAAAAATCATTAATATAAATAATGTAGAATAAAAATAGCTATCAGTTTTGAAAATTATTTAAATGAAATAATTGTTTTCTTTCATGTATTATTTCGAGTATTGTTTGCTTCTTATATGTTGACATTTTACAAATGAACTTTGTATCAATTAAGCTCTTGATGACATTAAACTATGTAGTATACTAGCTTTCCGACCGCAGCTTCGCCCGCGTGGAGTTCGGTTATATCGCGTTATCAAGAGAACCTTTCAAAAGTCTGGGATAAAAACTATCCTATGTTCTTTCTCAAGGTCCACTCTATCTCTGTACTAAATTTTATTAAAATCAGTTCAGTGGTTTAGGCGTGAAAGCGTAACAGACAGACAGACAGAGTTACTTTCGCATTTATAATATTAGTAGGGATTGTTCTCGCATATTTGATTTCATTTCAGACTTTTACAATTATATGAAAATCTGTAATGGTTTATAAATTTATCCTTAATTAAGGTTATATATAAATTAAGGTCTATAAACAATTAACATTTTAATATCTAAACTATGAGTATATTAAATAATGACAGTATTTTATTTTATGATTTATTGATATCTGATCTCAATAGATCAATATTTATTGGTATGTTTCTAATGACATCATCGAGGCGATGTAAGATGATAAAGCTGAATTCCTCAATGATTTTATTTCAGGTCATTTCACTGGTAATGAAAAGAGTATAATCGTAAAATGTGGAGATCTAAAACTCTAAAATAGAGCACTAGGATTTTTTCTTTTGTTTATTTAACTACATCAAATACCACAAATTTAAACTATTGGATATCAAAAGTCAGAACACTAATACCACACTGGATTTAACCAGTTACCTGTACCTACTATCAACAAAGGACTATTACCAAGTATCTCATCTCAACGTTCTAATACATTCCAATTACTGATATCGATACGGTTGTAGTAGTAGTTCGTCAGTTAGACTAATGTTCGTTATTCTACAGTGATCAGAAGAGACTCAGAAATTTTAAAATTTATTCAGGTTTATTTCTCTTTATAGATCTATAGGACTTAACTATCATCCTACCTGTTGGAAAACCGTTTCGCGACATCATTGTTTTAATGTAAAAACTGCGAGTAATCGTTGTTGTAAAAGAACAACTACTTTTCAGAAATAGATGCTACAATAATGATGACAAGTATTTTCAGCCGATAAGACTGCTGATAAGCCATTTAACTACTGCAATACGCTTTTTTTGTTACGCTTAATTCGTTCTCAAGAAGTGAATGATCCTGAGATATATAGACCTCATAAAACAGCAAACTTTTGGAATAAGGAAATAACCAAAGGCAAATTGTCTTCGTCGTCAGATGACCTTCCAAATTTCAGTCCTTGAAATTATTCTTATAGAGTCGACAGACTTTTTCCCTTCATATGAAAAACATCGTGCCATCAGGAATTTGGGTTATAATTAGTGCTTAGGGCCAACCATTGATTCTTTTATGTAATCCTTAATTCCGATCGACATAAGAAATTTACGCAAATGTTGCGGCCGGCCTGCACAACTGACAGAGAAGCATCACACATGCGACAATTATTCCTACCTGACTAGCAAAGATATCATTTCAAAAGTTTACAACAAGGGATTCGTTTCATTTTTTCTTGTATTTAATAATTTTCTGATCTTTTTACTTGAATTTAGTGTAAGGAACTTGTTCGAAATATAAAACCTTTATAAAAGATGACTGATATCGATAAAGAAAAGTTTTAGCATGATTAGAAGAAACGTGTTTATTTTTTATAGATATATACGATAAAATGTTATTTTATTATAACGGTAATCAAATACAGGAAAACAAGATTTATTGTTCTCTATTTTAATATGAGAAAAATTATTTATTTATTTTACACTTTATTTTATTTACACTTGAGAAAAATTATTTATTTATTTAATTATCGTCCTTTAACGCTTTTTTTAGTATGTATGCTTGTTGTTCCTCTCCTCCCATTAATTATAGAATATCGCACTCATGTGGTTTTGAAAGTATTTCTTACTGTTGATCAACTTTGGTTGGTTTTAATAACTAATTTAATAACTTCTTGATAATATTTTTTTCATATAATCAAGAAATGAGATATACTCTTCTTCTTCTTCTTCCTGGCAATGTCCCAGCTTTAGCCAGGCTCTGCCTTCAGAAGTGAGACATATATATGATAGATAATATTTTGAAATAACTTAGAGACGTGAGATTCCGTGTTGTGACGTCACTTATATATTTTCAAATATATGTAGGATCAAAAAACAAAGCCAGTCCAATTCCTAAGAGATTAAGAGAATTTGTTAAGCCTAAATTAAAACACAATTCATGTAAATCATATAGTTTTATTTTTGAATACTTGTTAAATATTTGACATCTTATTTGCTCTCATGTCGTTAAATGATTCCACTAATGTTTTAGTTTGCCGAGCACAACCTGCAACTTCATTCCAATTTAACCCATTTTCTTTGCTCCAGTGGGTGAACCAGGAATTTTAAGAAGTTCATTTCCGAAGATAGTCACGAACAAATAATAATCATTCGAGGAAACAATTATTCCAAAATCATAAACAAAGTAAATATTTTGCACAGCCAATTAAAAAAAAATAATGATTCCTCTTACGTTATTACAATTGATATTATGAGAGAATACGCCAAAACAAAAATTGTATATGTACATATATCTATCTATCTTTAAACTTAACTACGAATGTATTTTACTTGGCATGTTTTTTGTGAAAATCTTTCATGTAGCTAACAAGACTCTGAACTTCCTCTACTGTCACTGCATTGTAAGTTGATGCACGAATTCCACCGACATCCCTGAAAAATTGTAAAGAAAAGATTAATTAGGAACGCAGTTTTAATACGAGATATTACTGTCAAGTAATCGTTACCTATGTCCCTTTAACTGTATGAGACCTAAAGCTTCAGCTCCCTTTAAGAATTCCTTTTCTAAAACTTCATCACCGTTGAGAGATCCAATTCTAAACGGAATGTTCATTTTACTCCTATCTTTCTTGGCGACTGGTGCGTTGTAGAAGCCGTTTGAATTTTCAATGACTTCATAGATAAGTGAAGACTTCTTGATCGCTAATTCAGCCATCGCATCAAGACCGCCGTGTCTTTCGATCCATTGGAGCACTCGTCCCATCACCTGGATACTAAAATATAATATGCAGATTAAGCTTAACTGTCTATTTCATTTAAGAGCGGTCATATTAATTTACAAAAATAACTCTTTGTAATTAATAAGTTTTTAATTTTTTTGGGGTACAAATATGTTTTGATATGCATATACTTACGCAAACATAGGCGGTGTGTTAAGAATGGAATCCGCTTTCGCGTTGACGGTCCAATCCAATATTGAAGGGCAAATGGGTAGCGCTTGGTTTAAGAGATCCTCTCTCACTATAACCAGAGCAACTCCAGCAGTACCTATGTTCTTTTGAGCACCGCCGTAAATGACTCCAAACTGTGAACCGAAAAAAAAACATAAATATAACTTTTCTTCATAATCTGCTTAACTACCACAAAAAATTGCAGCGACTAATACCAACCTTAGAAACATCAATTTTCTTGGACATAAAATTGGAAGACATATCAGCGACCAAAGGCACTCCTTTAGTGTCCGGGATGAAATCAAATTCAATTCCTGAAAACGGAAATATTTTTACAATATAATAAAT